AGGGTTTTCGGGTTTAGGGAGGCTTTAGGGGTGCAGGGTTTCGGGTTCAGGGAGGCTTTAGCGGTGTAGGGTTTAGTGTTTAAGTTTAGGCTTTAGGGGTGTCGAGTTTCGGGTTTAGGGTTCATGTTGGCATAGGCCGCACCGTAGCCCAATTCGAAAATGGTCACGTTGTCAGGCCTTAGCCTTCGCAGCGTAAGTGTCTTGGGAAGCCGTGCAAAGAGAAACAGGCTTGGGGCTTCAATCTTGGGGTTCAACTATTATGGTTTCCTCATTATCGGAACTAGGCTTTGGTCTCAATCTTGGACTTCAGCTATTATGGTTTCCTCATCATGGTACATGAGATTACGTTCCAAGAAAGAGGTTCAGGAGGCTGAGCCCTTAAACCCCAAACACTGAACCCGAAATCCGAAACTCGAAAGCCCTAAGACTCTAAACCCCAAAACCCTAAACCTTGCAGCACAAGACCCTAAAGGAATCAATTGAAACAATACAAGTACTAACATAATTAAGTGCTTTAAAAACGTATGTATATACAAATAACCAGTTCCTGTAACAATAAGCCAGTTAATATCATACGAGATAGACCCTAAACCTTAGTCCCTAAACCCTAAAACCTAAAGTCCAAGACCCTAAACCCCATGCAAACCCTAAACCCCAAAGTCCAAGACCCTAGCCCCCAAACCCTAAACCCCAAACCCTAAAGTCCAGACCCTAAGGCCTAAAGTCCAAGACCCTGAACCCTAAACCCCAAACCTAAACCCTAAAGTCCACGACCCTAAACCCCAAGACCCTTCTTAAAGGATCATGGGACGGAGATCCATCGAAAAAAAATGGCAAGGAAGAGCTGGTGGAATGGGTTCAGGCGGTATCTTGCCGAAAAAACTGCCATGCCGTGCGCGCGGGGTGCTTCTGATCAACCTGCAGCTGGCCCAAGCCTGTGCTGCTCGGGACTCCATTGAAGCATCCCTTTGCATCTCGCCATGTCAACCTCAAAGGCTCAGTGGGACTGGGCATGGGGCTTTGGAGAGCACGATTGGGGCTGGGTCTGGGGTTTCTGGGTATGTGCGCTGCGCGTACGCTTAGGAGTAGTTGCTCATATTGGTTGAAGGCACCCACCCTGTGTCACCCTAAGCTGCCTATGAACGTCTTGAGCCGACAGACCCGTCCGGATCAGGCCACCCCTAGCAGGGCTCCTGTCGAACGCGCCAGGACTGCGGACAAATAGTGCATTGCGGAATCCACGCAATTATTCGCAATATCCTTGGGAGGAAGCTAGGCTACATGGGCTGCGGAGCCAGAGCCTGGCTCGCCGCTGCTGCTACATCGAGCGCCCGCCGAGGAGCTGAAATCATTCATACGGGACAGGCATGGTACCTTGTAAAAGTTGTGTATGTCGTTGGCCGGAACCAGAAACAAAGATAGGTCCTGATTGGCCTTACGATCTGCACGAAGCCCTCGCGCGTTGCAGCTGTGAACTGACCTTTGGCAGGCTTGAAGACTTAAGTGATCTTCCGGAAAGCCAGGCCTGCCCGGTTCGTTGTGGAAATTTGGAATGTATTTACGGGCTTGCGGCACGGCGCTTGCGGGCAGACGTTCAGCGTGGAGTCCCTGGCAGAGTTCTTAGCAGATGAGGCGTTCCCAACACGATTCTTTCACCTGCAGCTGAAGCTTCTGCTTGTTGTCTGAGTGCCCGGTTCCCTGCGTGAAAGTCGGTGCATGCGACAGGTGACGCTGCCGGATGCGCTTCCTTCCGACCAGAGGTCCAAATTGTAGGGGCTGTGAATGATTGACCAAGTGTTTGTGCGTTCCGGTGCACGTTGCAAGGAGGACTAGGCCGTGCAGTGCTCCGGAGCATCGGGATTTGCAGCCGTGGTCAGCCGTGGCCTTGGGGTTCTATGGCTTTGTGTGAGGCGCAGCTCATAGGATAGGAAGTATGTGTGACAGGATGGACAATCCTGCCTCCCCCTGGTGTCTCTCGAGGTTGTGCTGTTTTGGTTGTAGCAGACCTTAGCTGCCTTAATGGGCATTTTTCCAAGATGATACCCAGTCATTGGGAGGATATGCCGCGGGGAGGCTTCGACCAATTCGACACTTCCCTAAGGTGGCTTTGCTCGCAAAAATGCCGTCGCATTTGTGTCGCAGTTGCGCTGCAGTCATTGCAGCGCTCAGGCGGGAAAGGTTGGTGCGCTCATTCTCGATGGTGTTGCTGGCATGGTTCGCGTGGGCTTGCTAGCAAGCGCAACTTGGAGCACTGTCCGTTTGGTGACTGTTTACTTGAGGTGTTTGATAGTTTTCCACAATACTTCACCCAAAAGCCAACCAGTTGGGATTCCCTTCCGGCAAGCACCTGGCCATGTCGCTCTGAACACCATCTCCTTCCCCCGAACTCAAATGTAGCGCTGGAATGTCCGTCAACGCATCGTCAAACCCTCCGACTCCCCCGAGATCTGTTGAGCAGGAATGTTTTGCAAGGGAGAAGTTGTTGACAGACTCTTTCCCAGTCAATTTCATGGTGCTGTATGAATCGGATTGACCCGGTCTCCGCGTCAGGATGAGTGCTCGACGAGGCTTCGGCCGACGATCGTTCAAAGTCTGAGGGCGTGGTGGGTTGTTGCGTCTGTCGGGGCAGAAGGCTCCGACCGTTGCTCTGATCGTTGCGACCGTTGCTCTGTGATGTGAGCGTTGGTTGTACTATTTCGCATATACCTCCTCTGCCCTAAACCCATCAGACCCATGAGTGGAGTAGAGGCCACAACGCCCCCAACAGCATCTACCCCAGACTGGGGTCTATGCTGATTAGCTGATTCTTTACCAAAACTCGCCATCAACCTCATCTTCCGCTCCGTCTCAGAGCCGAGGTAGATGGTTTGTTCTTGGGTCTGGGGATGGTTGCCGGTCTATGCGCCCATTCTTGGAACCACGTGCATAGGTCACGGAAGCTAGCATTACATCTGCGCGAGGTTCCTGGAAAACAAGGTGCTTGCAGATGAGTGTGAGTGTGTGAGTGTGTGAGTGTGTGATTGTGTGAGTGTGTGAGTGTGTGAGTGTGTGTGTGTGTGTGTGTGCACGTGAGGACTGCGTGCTCGGCGCTTTCTGGCTTAGCCGCGACTTGTTCTCTTCTTGCGTTCGTTTTGCTTGTCACTTTGATCTGGCTTGACATTTTCAGCGTTTTTATTAGTAGCTATAAGGTTATTATTAGGGTAGCTATACTTATAACTACTTATAACCCCAATTAAGGTACTTATAACCTTCCTGACTAAGTCCCATGATCCCCATTATAGAACCCCTATAGATCCCTTTAAGGAGCCCCATTACAGAACCCTATAGTACCCTTATTAAAAGGAATCCTAAACCTTACTGGCTAAGTCCCATGATCCTCCAAGTAAGCCCCAAGACCGTCCAACACCCTAGACCTTCGACCCCAAACCTTTAGCCCAAAAACCCAAACCCTAAACCCCAAACCCCAAAACCCTAAACCCTAGAGTCCAAGACCCCAAACCCCAAGACCCTTGAGGATGTTGAAGGACCACCTGCAGTGTGGGGCTCCTTGTCCTTGCCAGCGGCTTCCGGGATTCTAAGCTCTTGAATTTCCTGAGGAATTATTTTTGTTTTTGTTCATATAAGAACCAAGAGAATATTAAAACTAGTGTTTTTATGACCATTCTAATATGAGGCTTTAGGGGCGTTTGGTGTTTAGGGTTTAGGGGTAGAGGCTTCGGGTTTAGCGGCTTAGGAATTAGGGGTTTAGGTTTGGTGTTTAGGGTTTAGGGGATAGAGACGTTTGGTGTTTAGCGCTTGGGATTTAGGGAATAGATTTGAGATAACCTGTAAGTTCCATTGTTGTTTTATAGAGCTTTGCGTGTAAAACAACATAAAACCTTAACCCCCAAACCCTAAACCTGTTGGGGACTGCTGAGTCGACACCTATAGTTTGGGGATGTCTAGGGTTCAGGAGGTTAGGGTTTCGAGCTTAGGGATGTTGAGGCTCTAAGGTCTGGAACGGCTTGGGCTTTAGGGTATAGGGTGTACAACAAACAGAATAACACAGAATTAGAAGCCCGAAGCCCATGTACATGCTAAGCTACATGTTCCAGGTTAGGCAGTTTTGACATTCATAAGAACTGACAAAGCCCGCTAAGTTCCTATTGTACACTCCTTTGATGCCAGACAGCCACGAGTGTTGGACACCTGAACGGAAGTATCAGGGCAGTCGCTGCAAATCCTAAGTACTGAATTCTGTGCCCTGTGCGATTGGCTGTTGCGCGCCAGCAGTTCTACATGGAGCGAGAGGAGCTGAAGCCCCTTCTCAAAGACGCCAAATTGTGGTCCTCCGACCAGCATGTTCCACGCACTCCGAAAAAACACCAGCAGCTGGATCGAAGAGGCGGTGGTTCTAGAGGAGGTCCTCAGAGCACATTGTGCACAATATTGCTCATGGACAAAATCCTGCATTACCCATTATAAGGAATATACCATAGTTCCCATAGTTTAGAGTCCTTAGGGTCATGCAGGATATTGTCCATCAGCAATAGCGATGGGTGTCAGATCGGCCAAGCTGCCCACTTTCAGCATGTGGTTCGCTTCTGCCGCAGACCAGAGGCTGCGGCTCCGAGGAGAGGCTCGTCTGCGTCACCTTGGCACCGCCGGCCCTAAGCCCTAAACCCTTAAAGCCTGAAACCCTAAACCCTAAACCCCAAAACCCCAAACCCCTAAACCCCCAAAAACCCTAAACCTTGGTCCGGAGCAGAGCCACGCTGCTAAACTTTTAGGGCATGCCTAGCCGGAGACTCCAATATCCCTTAATTAAGGAATATACTTGAAATTATGGTAGGATCCCTAATATGATTTAAGGTATATTCCTTAATTAAGGGATATTGGAGTCTCTGGGTAGCCAGACGCCCCACACCTTGATTCCCCAATGTGCCAGGAGACCCACTCTACACCGGGTCTCTCGAAGTTTACTGTTTTGTTCGGGTTTGGGGTTTTGGGTGGGGCTCCTGATGTTCCAAGTTCTGGAAGATGACGACCGTTTTGCCAGCATCTTGGTTACAGGGCTGTTCCTCAAGCTTATCTCCCCCACATTGGTGGCCTTTGTTCGAATGGCCTGGGTTGCGCATAGATGTGATAGGCTTGGTGCAGTAGGCTTACAACTCCTGTCGCAGACGACGGTGTTTGGCGGCGTTGAGATTTCAGGTGTAGGGATGCGGGGGTAAGAGTTAGAGGGTTTACCCAAAAAGCAAGGAAACTTCGGACATCTAATCAGGCGGGAAGGGTATCTGCAGCCTCAGATAGCACACACCATTGCACCAACCGCTAAGCTGCACCTCCCTTCTGATTCTAAGCACCTCTAATATTGGGGCCTCAATAATTCGAATAAGGTTTTGGGGCCCAGAATACTATAAATATAAAATTGAGCCCCCAAAATAGTATGGGTAATTGCTACCCAGAGGGTCCATATACATTACCATTATGGAATTAGGTCCCCAAAACCATTATAGGGATGGTCTTTTGGGACTTAATTCCATAATGGTAGTGTATATGGACCCTCTGGGTTAACCCTAAACCCTAAACCCTAAACCCTAAACGGGCCCCTATATTAACAAAGCCCCAGAGGCGATGAGACCCGGAATTGGGTACCCTAGTCCCGAAACCCTACCCCTAAAGGGAACTCCAGAAAGTTGGAATATAGATGAATGGTAGGATCCCCTATAATTTACCTTAAAGGGGTTGCGATAATGATATTCCAACTTTCTGGCATCTACTGTAAATCCCTAAACCTTCACCGGTCTACCCCTAAGAAGGTTCCGTAAGGGGGTGAAGGGGTTTGGGAATTAGGGTATTCTGCTATCACTCCGTGGTTTCCCCCCTTCCTCAAGGCAAGATTTCGGGTTTCGAATTTTGGGCTGCAGGATCCGCTTTTAAAGCCCACAAAACGAACCCACAGTCCAACAACCGTAAACTCGAGCGTCTTACCGTCGGAGTCCAAGTTGCCCTAAAACATGAGGAGCATGCCATAGATGATACTCAGCGGTTTGGGGTTTAGGGGTTTACGGGTTTGGGGATGTTTGCCTAGTGTTTCGTGTTTCGGCTTAAAGTGAATGCACCCCAGAACCTGACAGGACTTCCGATGCTGAGTTAAGGGAGGCTCCTTAAACAATTATCTGATGTTTTAGGCTCTCAGGGTTTGGGGTTCAGGGTTTAGGGTTTCGGATTCTTGGGTTTAGGATTTAGGGTCCTCGGGGTGCAGGGCCCTTAACCTTAGTGCCCTTAAGATTTAGGGCTTCGGGTTTTTTCGGGTTTGGGCCTTCGGGTTTTGTTGGGTTAGGGCCTAAACCCTAAACCCTAAACCCTGGCTTGGGTCCTTGTTCTGATCTCAGATTTCTTCCGCCAAATCCTGGAGATCCCTCGGTGTTCAGGCGCGCAGCAGCATCGGGTCCCTAAAGGTCCATCTACGGTTTAGGGTTTAGGGTTGTGGGATTTAGGGTTTAGGGTTGGGGGATTCAGGGTTCAGGGTCTAGCCACGGATTGTGACCCTGTTCTGAGGTGTATATCTAGACCAAAATCAAAGCGGAAACCCTCACTAATTGAAGGTTCAGCGGCCAAGAACATGCCCTGTGTTCATTGCGCGAAGATGCGACAATTTCCATGTCATGAAACCCCAGATACAGTTTCGAAGACTGCGGCAGCCGCCCCCTAAACCCTAAACATCCCTAAACCCCTTGACCAAACCTTGATAACAGCAATGGTCCTATGCAGCAGACGAGGAATGGGGACATTAGGGTTTAGGGGTTAGGGCTGGCTTCAACCCTCGCCTTAGAGTCTAGGGTAGTTTAGGGGTCTGCATACGGACATAATATAGGGGCCTTAGGGGCCCATGATACTAGAACTATAATAAGGAGCCCCCGAAATAGTAGTGGCAATTATTTCGGCCGCTACATTAGTGTTCATGTACCCCAAAGCGCTTTTCTAATCACTAAGGCCTATGGATCCTAGAACTTTAGTAGCAGCCGTGGTAGGCCCCAGTAGCAGGAACCCCTTAAGGATTTACGGTGCTGATCTCTTATGCAACAACTGCAACGCAAACAACACACTAACCCTTCTCTAATTCGTGTACTTGCAACATGTCAATTTTGTGGTTCAGGGGTAGTTATAAGTAGGGTTATAAGTTCCCTAATATGGGTTTTAAGTATAGTTATCCTACTTATACCCCTGCGTATAACTACCCATGAACCTCCAAGAAGGCAACGAGGCGCGTGTGCTGGACCTCATCCATCGTGCAGCGGTTGACCTGGGGCTGAACACAGAGTATGATCATGGCAATTTGCCCCTCGGCTAGTGTTTGGGGTGTTCCGTGTTTGATTTCCTTGTCTATATACGAATTATACAAGTCGTTAAATGGGTAGAATATTAGGGGTTAAGGCACACCTTTAGCCTGGCACGCTAAACCTCTAAACCCTGAACTCTTTCCCCCAAGCCAAAAGCTTAACCCACCCAAAAAAGCTTAACGCCTAGACCCCTTTCCCCTACACCCTACATCAGCTTCGGATCTTCGCAAAGGGAGTGCATTTCAACTGAAATAAACCCTACATCAACTTTGACTCTTAAGCCAAGCTCTGCGGAGCCGAGGCATCGAGCTTAAAGGCCCCAGGGGTACTGGGTTTCAATGTATTAGGACGTTTTTTTTTTTTTTTTGGGGGGGGGGGGGGGCTTGGGGTTTTAAGGAGTTTTTAGGGTTTCAGGTTTCTGGGAGAGTTTAGGTTTTAGGATCTTGGGGTTGGGGGGGATCTTCGGGTTGATGGTCACTCTGGGGGTTCATGCTTTGGGGTTAGGGGTTTGTGGATCGGGACGTAGGTTTGAGGAGTTGTGGCTTATGGGGTTGAGGAATCAGGGTTTGGGGTTTGGGATTTGGGGTCACTGGGGCAAGCTTTCCGCCGAAGGATCGTCCATAAGCCAGCGTCTACTACGAGCTCGGCAGCATCTTGCCAGCAGCTATGCAGCTCCCTTCCAGCCGAATCTTGAGCTTAAGCCCCGCCCTAAACGTTGAATTCAACGACAAACTCTGAGTGTGCCGGTTGTGGAGTTGAGTTCAATTCAACGCAGCCCAAGCAGATGTACTCACAAACTGTGCATACTCGGCCGTAGCAACACGGGATGCTTGCAGGGGGTCCCGGGATCAGTAGTTTGATTGTCGAATTTGTGTAAACATTCAACCCTACATATACCGTAGTGTATGACATCCAGTCTTAAACCATAGAACCGAGGATTTCGGCGGTTCGCATATGCATTGCGTTTCCTTCCAGGCCTACCAGCCCTCCAACCCTGCAATGCAGTCTTCATCTGGGGAAAGCCTTGAGCCCGTGGACCCTAGGTTCATAGGGACCTTAAGTGGGTAAGGGGGAGGGGGGTAGGGGACTATACTTCCTTAAACAGGCCTTATTAGGTTTTGATTATCGGCCCCCTTTTCCCCTCCCCCCTACCCGCCTAAGGGTCTCTATGATGGGTTCCTGAGTAATTCGCATCCTCTTGCCCCTTTTATTTTCAGTTGATTTTGGGGCTTAGGGTTCCTTACAGGGTTCCTTAATTGAGGGGTTCCTTAAAGGAATCTATGGGGTTTTAGGGTCTACTAGGTTCCTGAGTAATTAGTATCCTCTTGCCCTTTTTGTTTTAGGGCTTAGGGTTCCTTAAAGGTTTCCTTAAGGGGTTCCTGAAAGGGATCTATGGGGGTTTAGGGTCTACTAGGTTCCTGAGTAGTACCCTTTTTGCCCTTTTGATTTGAGGGTCCCCGGTTTAAACCGAGGAGTCTTATTATAAAGGGGCTAATTAGGAACCCAGAACCCCAAGCGCCAAAACATCATAGAACGCTGGGTCTGTGACATTGGGGCTTGCTCGACTCTGAGCCAAAAACTTAAAAGCCCGAAGCCCGAAGAGCTAAACCCTAAACTAGGGTTTAGGGTTAGGGCTTGGAACTTAAGGTGGCCCTAGCATGGTAAACCCTACTCCGGCCCGACGGATGGGTGCCGTTCTAAAGGTACAACGAGCGACCATTCGGAATAGACTTCTTTGCACGGGGGGTACAACCCTAAACCCTAAACCCCTAAAACCTAAAGCCCTAAACCCTAAAACCCTAAACCTTAAACCCTAAACCCTAAACCCTAAACCGTGCGGAGGCATCCGCAGACCCCGTCATCATCCAGACGCACGTCGATATGGTCTGTGAGAAGAATGCAGACTCCCTGCACGACTTCGAGAAGCAAGGTAGCTGGACACGCCTAGAAACCCTACATCGTCAACCGAAGCAGGTGTTTCCCTTGTTATTTCAGGGGTTCTTAAAGCCAGAACCCCTCTTCTTAGGATCAAGATTATGGAACTGTACTCCTTTCAGACTCCCAAAATGTCGGGTTTAAAGCTTCGCCTGCAGCAGATCGAAGTGAATGGTGGGTTCCCCAAACCCTTCCTCCGCGACCCTACTTGGAGGATCATGGGACTTAGTAAGTATGGTTATAAGTACCTTACTTGGGGTTATAAGTAGTTATAAGTATAATGACCCTCATAATAAGCTTAGTTACTAAGTACCATAATCCCCATTATAGAACCCCTATAGATCCTTAAAGGAACCCTATTATAGAACCCTATAGTACCCACTTAAACTATCCTTAAAGCCGAACCACCAACTCCGATCCCACAGCGCGGACCCCAATCATAGCGGCGTACCGACATCGGAATGTCAGGATCGATTTGAGGGTTGAGGGTATGGTTTAGGGGTTAGGGTTAAGGGTTTAGGGTTTAGGGTTTGGGGTTAGGAGTTTTCTTCGACTTTCTGGTGCCTTGCAGGTGTGCATGGTAGCGGACTCAATTGGCAGACAAATGACGTCACCCAACACTGAGACTACAGCACCATGCCGTAAACAGCAGGTAACCGCAGACCGAAAAAAAAGGACGCGGTTCTCTAATGTTTGGCATATCTCAAAGGGGAAAAGGAGGGACCCTTAATGGGGACCCCTACCCTATAACGGGCTATATAATGGGCTATATAATGGCTATATTATGGGTATATACCTAGGGGTCCTGATTAGGGGTCCCTCCTTTTACCGTTTGAATATCGCAACACAGCTGCCGATATGAGGTAATGATGTCGTATCATGCTAGGAATTCGGACGGTTACCCAGAGCCATTGCGGCAGCCACAGCAAACTTCCAACGGTCATAGTTACTCAGCATGGCAGCAGCACAGTGGAATAACATCCAACAAGCAGTGGCTTGGCCAGGCGCATGCACGTGCTCCTTTGAGGTTGGTTCGAAAGCTCGTTTACTGAAGGGACATTGGGAATATGAGATGGTTTGCGTTGGATGCAGTTGTCCCAGGAAAAGCTTCGAGTTTGAATGACTCGTAATTCGTTTTTGAGGCTCAGCTGTTAGGGTTGACAGTTTCGGGATGAAGCGTGGTAATATAGGGGCACGGAATGGCACGGATGATTACCCATACTGTTGGGGTGGTTCATAACTACAAATCTAGTATGATAGTTCTAGTATGATATCCCCCAAAACCCTGTTCTAATGATTAAGGCAGGCCTCTACACTAAATCCATGTAGCAGCGCTTATAGACCCCTCTCAAGGAACCCTATTGAAATTATTAAGGCCTCTGCTAGCAAAAGCGAGGCAATGGGTCTTTTGAAGGCTTTTAGGGTTTAGGGTAGGATTTGGAGCCTTTTTGGGTTTAGGGTTTGAAGGGTTTAGGGTAGCGTTTGGAGCCTATTTGGAGCAGGGCGCAGCAATCATTCTCAGACTTTTCTAGGTGTCCTCGGCATTGCACGATAGCTGCATTTGAGAATGTAACGCGGATAGGAGATTCTTGAGCTTGGTTTAAGGTTCAGATGAGAGTCCTTATTGAAAAAGTGGGGCATTGTTCCGGACTTCCGGAATCCAAATCGACATCTACATGTAGAGAACTGCCCAAATGAGCCCTCTTCCAAGACCTGAGATTAGCAAGACGGATGCCTTCGACGAGCAAACCACGGGAAGGCCACGGAAGCTCTGGTCCCTAGTCTCCAAACGCCAGACCCAAAGGCTTGAACAATGCTGAACAACAAAAGAGCGACCTACATATGCGAGGTTGTCAAAATGCTCTCCAATTTCACCGCCGTACAACCCAACATGGCATGCTCAGCGCACACGCCGCCTGAACTGTACGAGCACCAGAGGTATCAGAGCATCATTCTTTGTAATATGACGATTATGGTGAAGACTGTTGCCGAGGTGACGATAATTATGATAATGGTGGTGATGGCTGTTGTGTTCTCGACGGTGGTGAGGACAAGCGTTATTGAATAACTATGCTTGTGACGAAAGTGAGTGTTGTCAAGAGCTTCTGTCTTGTGATAAAGACGAGCAGGGCTGATGCATGCTACAACTCTCAATCGTATGACCGTTCTTGTCTGTTTCTCCTGGGCATAATTGTGTCTGACTTTAGCTGTTGCTGACCGGGTAGCGTGCTTGCCAGATCTGAATGCCGTACTGTCGCCATGTAACATCCCTCACGGCCCTCGCTTTACTATTTTGGGGGTTCAGCATCATAATCTTTAAGTGTCGTATATTGGGCCTCAAATCCTTATTCGAAATATTACGGCCCCTCTAGTAGACCCTGAACCCTAAACATTAAACCCTAAGCTGAAGACGACGGCTGAGGCATCCTGGCCGAGCTGGTAGCGGGCTGGATCCTTGCTCGCAACACTACGCTGGGCGCAGACAATGGAAGCTTGGCAAACGGGTTGAGTGTTCCGAAGCATTTTCCGACACAGGGTTAGTCAAACTGTTTCGGAAAGGGTTACGATAATTGGTATTACAAGGGTGTCGTGTAGAAGCCTGGCCCATTACCGATACTGTTCCACTGGGTTCCTTACGATTGTTGGGTGCAGAACCCCTAGAACCCTTGTCTAAGGCTTCAGGCCTGAGTGCTAGACACTTTCAAGAATGCTTTTAATACCTTTCAAAGGACCCCCTTCAAGAAACCCTGAAAGGAACACTGCTCTAATTACCCTGAACCCCAAAGTCTTCGCTGAGGGCTCGACAACCGCCACCACGGAGCTCGAAGCGGCCTGAGCGTCGCGAGCGGCAGCAAACGCGTATGCGGAACTTAGGTAAAGCTAGGCGACTGGCACATTTTGCATGCCGGCCCCTCGGGCACCTCCCACGGAGTGGTAAAGGAAAAAGCCCAAACCTGGTGGTTTTGCTGGCACATCCTTTCGACAAGGGTTGCACCACCCAACCCTTCACGATTTGGAGCGGTTCTCAAATGGACAGGGATTGAAACCCCCAACCCTTCACGAGTAGGAGCGGCTCTGCAAAAGGGCAACGGTTGCACACTTTAGCTCTTCACGATTTGGAGCGGTTCCCAAATGGACACGGATTGGACCCCCCAACCCTTCCCGATTTGGAGCGGTTCTCAAATGGACAAGGATCGGACCCCCTCAACCATTCACTATTTGGAGCGGCTCCCAACTGGACAAGATTGGACAAGGATTGGACTCCTCAACCTTTCAAGATTTGGAGCGGCCATCCAACTGGACACGGATGAGACCCCCCCAACCCTTCACGATTACCCTTCACGACTTGGCGGCTGTTCCTTTCCAGGCGTTGACAGCTGATTCTACGTTACCAAATTCTGCTTATAATATTTGCCATTCACATCAGGCTGTCGGCCGATCTCGGGGTTCCCCCTGGCCGCCAGCTCCATGGAAGGGGTTGCAATCCCCAATCCTTCACGATCTACAACCCCCCCAACCCGATTTGGAACGGTTCTCAAATGGACAAGGATTGAAACCCCCAACCCTTCACGCCCCCCAACTCTTCACGATTTGGAGCGGTTCTCAAATGGACAAGGGTTGAAAACCCCAACCCTTCACGATTTGGAGCGGCTCCCAAATGGACAAGGATTGGTTCTCAAATGGACAAGGACTTCGCGATTTGGAGCGGCTCCCAAATGGACAAAGATTGGACCCCCAACCCTTCACGATTTGGAGCGGCCACCCAACTGGACAAGCTGACAGCTGATTTTCTGTGACCAAATTCTGGTTATAAAATGTTCCATTTAGATTATAGGCTGTCGGCCGATCTCGGGGTTCCCGCATTTTCGCCAGCTTCAGGGAAGAGGTTGCGCCCCCCCAACCCTTCCCGATTTGGAGCTGCTCCCAAATGGACAAGGATTGGACAACCCCAACCCTTCACAACTTGGAGCGGGTCTCAAATGGACAAGGATTGGACCCCCCAAAGCCCTCCACGAGTTGGAGCGGCTCTGCAAAAGGGCAAGGGTTGCACACTCCAACCCTTCACCATTTGGAGTGTCTCCCAAATGGACGAGGATTAGACCCCTAACCGTTCACGATTTGGAGCGGCTCGGCAAAATGACAAAGTCTATCAGAATCATAACTCCCGCCAGCACAGCCTCACAGAAAGCCCACTGTTTCTTCCGGCACGCGCCAGGACCACCTTACAGAAAGCCCGACTGAGAACCCGCCAGCACAGCCTCGCACAAAGCCAAATACAGAAAGGGACAGACTGACAGAAAGCCCAAATGCACTGCTGTTGGTTTTTTCAAACTCCTGCCAGCACAACCTCACAGAAAGCCCACTGCTTCTTCCGGCACTAGACAGAATAGCCTCGCAGAAAGCACATTGCTTCTTCCAGCACCAACAGCCTCACAGAAAGCCCACATAAGAACAGCCAACACAGCCTCCCAGAAAGCCCGACCCAGACAGGGATAGACTCGAAAGCCCACATGCAGTGCTGCTTGTTTTTTCACAATTCCCGCCAGCACACCCTCACAGAAAGCCCGTTGCTTCATCCGGCATCGGCCAGGACAGCCTTACAGAAAGCCCAGATGAGAACCCGCCAACACAGCCTACGGGGAGTCTGTGGAACTGCCCAGCAAGTTGGCCGAGCCGTGGTCGGCTTTCCGGAAGCTGAAGGCGTCCGAAAGGCTCGGTGGGCGAGTGCGCCCCAGCACTGTTGCTCAGTAGACGTTCCTAAAGCATTTGACAGTCTGGACCCCGCAAAGAGTTAGTAGGAATAGCATCCACAGCTTGCCTCGCGTTGCGTCGTTTGGCTTGTACATGAACGGACTGAGTCCTTGGCTGCGCAGGCTCGCTGCCATCGCCGAAATGGGAATCTACCTCTACCCGGAGGGAGTCAGCAAGCGAGGAGAAGGCATCGAAAGTCAAGGCGTGGGGCAAAGTGAGGGCCTGGGACCGGAAGCTGACGAGTGGGCATCGTCTGACTTGGACTGGGGTGGCTCAGACGCTGAGGACCAGGCGCCGGCAGCTCCACAAAATGCACCCACTGAAAGTGCCAGCGCATACACTTTCGCAAAGGACGATGCCGTCGTGGCTCCCTGGTCCAAACGGCAGATGCTCCGGAGCAAGGTGCCACCACCGTGCGTCATCCCGCCCGGCTACACAGCTGTCCGGCCAGTTGCCCACCCAGAGTCCAGGCTGGCACGTGAGCTGGAATGCACGGTGTACGTGGTCGACTGGAAGACGAGGGAAGCCTCGGAATTTGCAGCCGTTGCACATAGCCGGACAGACACAAGCGCAGCCCGTCTTGCATCTGCTCGCAGGGAAAGAATCGGGTCGAAGTACTACGCTGCCACGCCCTTGTGGCACAGCCCCAGCGCGCAGGCAATTTTGGAGGCTGCCGCAGATGTGCAAGAAGCCTACAAGGGCTTGATCTTACTGCTATCGCCCAGCGCGACCAAGCCCTTTGCGGTGGCAGCACACATAGAAGCCAGGCAAGACATCCACCGCAAAGGGGTGCCTGTTACCGATTGGCAGACTGAAGTCAGCCCCGAGGCGGCCAAGCAGCTAGGTTTCTTACCCCCCGAGGCGTCTCAGGACAAGCCATGCCTCTACTCTGCATGGCAAGTGCGCGGCCTTCTGAAAGTGGCATCCGGACACTCGTGCTCACGGAAAACCCAATCCAGACAGGGACAGACTCACAGAAAACCCACATGCAGTGCTGCTTTCAATCCTGCCTCGGCCCGGTTGAAAGTAGCGGCCCCCGGCGGTTGTGCCGAAGCCCCCACTTGGATGCTTAGAAAACGTTAGAACTAAACCCTAAACTTGAACTGAGGGCGGTCTTGGGGTGGGCTGTCTGCTACGCACAAGTGCGAGCGGCACCCACACCAGCAAGCACCCATGATGTCACCACACCCTGAACCCCAAACCCAAGAACCCTAAAGGCCCCTACATAAGGGTACAGGTTGCGAGATTCTCTGTCATAGGAAACCGAAGATGGTGTTGTTAGGTTTTCGGGGTGCATCAGGGTTTGGGTGTAGGGTTTAAGGTTTAGGGGCATCTCACCCAAGGTGCATAAATTCAGGAATCTAAATCTTCTAGGGTCTGAAGTTTGAAACGCCCCAATTCGCTTCCAATCATTTTGGTTCAGGTGTTGGACTTGAGGATACTTACAGTGTTTTCGGGTTTGGGGTTTCAACTTAACGGTTAGTTTCTGGGGCGTTATGTGCTTTTAGGTCTCGGATGATTTTGGGTCAAATGCATAGGCTTTGCTCAGGCCTTCAACCTTCGTTTGTTGTAGTTGTATTGGTGTATCGTTTGAGCTTGGGGGATCCTGGATGGGGTTCATCCAGCGATTGATCTGCAGGCCGTGTTTTAGGGTGCCCCAAGTGCCCTGAGCACATTGAATGCCCCAAATACCGAATGCCTGTAAGACCGCCGATGCCCTGCATTGTGCAAATTCATATTAAGTACACTAAAAACCCAAAGCCCTACATGCCTCAAACATCCCTAGCATCCCCAAACCCGAAACCCCAAAAAACCTTAAGCGCAAGTCCAGTGCACCCTTTAACTAAACAACAACAGACCCAAAACCCGAAAAGCCTTCAAGCCCTAAACCCTAATCCCGAAACCGTCAACGCTAAAAGCCCGAAGCCCCATACAGCCGAAGCCCTTGTAAACACCCACCCCCTCCCCCCCCACGCTCTCCCCGTCCCCCCCTCGCGCTTCCCCGCCCCCCGGCTCCCACCCACCCAAAACGCTCGCGACCCTGAGCTCAGGGCTGGGGGTCGCCACCGCCATGGCCCCTTGTGCCAGTCGTCAGGTTTCTCTTTTTTTTGGTTCAAGGTTCAACCCTAAACCTTAAACCCTTAAGCAAGAGCCCTTGACCCGAAAGGAGCTTTCATGGAGCCCTGGGAGATGCCCCAAAGAGCCCTCAAAGAACCCCTTGTGCCCCAGGCCTGAAACCTCTGAGCTTCTAAAGCCCTAGGCCCTAAAGCCCTAAAACCACTTTCCCTGAACCCTAAACCCCCAAGCCCCTCAACCCTGAACCTTGAACCCCTAAACGCCCCCAAGGCCCATAATCCCTAGAAACCCTGAACCCTAAACCCCCCTAAGACCCTAGTCCCTAAACGAAACCCAAAGATACCCAAGCCTCAAGATCCCTAAGCCATAAGATCCCGAAAACATAAACCCTATATAAATCGTATCGACTTCCCAGACAGGGCCGCTACTCCGAATCGGTGATTCTCAACAGTCGAGATGCGGTTGTTATATATAGGTTTAGGGTTTCGGGTGCATGCCTGAGGGTTTAGGGTTGAGGGCTTAGGTTGTAGCGATATGTGTAGTTCTCTGATGTAGGGTACCTTCTAGGGCCGTTTTTTCGGATGCCGCACTAGCTTGGGGACTTAGAAAAGGACCCAGATTGTTATAGGGGTTTGTGTAGGGGCCTCACTAATAATAACAATTAAGTGGAGTAAGGCCGCTTCAGGTTTAGGGTTGAGGATTCAGGGTTTAAATTATTTAGTGTCCACGCTCTCGGGTTTCGGGCCGTGCTGAGGTTTCAGGGTTCAGGTTTTAGGGTTTAGTGTGTTTTAGGGTTGAAGGCTGAGGTTTTAGGGTTTCGGTTTTAGGGTTTAGGGCTCTGAGGCACTGTTTGGTCCCATACCAAGCCCAGCGCCAGCGCTGGTGCTGGTCTTCACAGTCAAGGAGGCCAGAGTGTGGGGGTTTTAGAGTTTAGGGCTTAAAGGGTTCAGGGGTCTATACTGTTTCTTTCGGTTTGGCGTTGAGGTCTCCCGGCCGCAACTTTTTCAGCTCTGGTGTTTAGGCACCATCATGTGTGCTTGTCATCCTAACCCCTACACCCCAAACCTTGAAGACAGAGTGTGAGTTGCTGATCTGTCTTTGAGTGTCCCGAGACTCTCTCAGCTACTTCTTACTATAGCATCTTCCAAGCCCTAAGCACGAAAGCCCGACAATTCCAAAGGTTGTTAAAAGCCTGGGTTCCCAGTCTCGGGATGGTGGGCGGGATTTGAACGTTGTAATATAGGGGCCTAAATAGTTACCAACACGACTTTGGGGCTTCCTTATTATGAGTATAGTTAAATGGCCCCTAGCAAAAATCGCCCCAAAAACCCTCTTCTAATTATGAAGACCCAGATTGTTTGCTGGTTTGCCTAGAGTGGGGTGTAGGGTTCCAACAGGTTGCAACTTTGCCGGTTTGGAGTTTCGGGCTTAGGGATTAAGGTAGGCACTGCGAGGTTGTGCGACGACAGAAAGAACGTCCGGGAAGGTACAGTTTGCGCGTAATAGCCTTCAGGCTGCCCCGAAGTACGTACATGTATACCATAACCTGCCAAAACCTACTTTTTTTGTAGGTTGCCTATAAATTCCATATTTGTGCTTTATACCACGAACCTACAAACAAGTAGGGGTTGCTAGGTTAAGGTAGACTATAAAGCCCACCCTGAACCCTAAACGGCCGCGGGGTCTCATACAAAGCAACGTTTAGGATTTAGGGCTTTGGGTTTAGGGTTTAGGGTTTTAAGGGTTTAGGGGTTTAAATTTAGGGTTTAGGGTTTAGGGTTTTAGGGTTCAGGGTTCAGGGGTTTAGCGGTTTAGGGCTTTGGGGGTTTAGGGGTTTAGGGTTTAGGGCTTTAGCAGTTTAGGGTTTAGGGCTTTGGGGTTTAGAGGTTTAGGGTTCAGAGCCAAGAGTCGGCAACATGCTTCAGAGATGCTACTGTAGGGTCGAGCGTGTCGCACGCTTTAATGTAGTAACCTGATTAAGAAACCTTGGGCCTTTTTTGGGGTTCTTTATTTATGTGAGTCCTACTATTTTGCGGTTATAGGCCCAGGGTTTCTTAATCAGATTCCTACTTTTCGCGCTTTGCGAGAAATTGAAACCTCTGTTGCGGAAATACCTGACAGCCCCCTAGAATTGAGCTTTCCGTGTTCATACTTTTGTTATAAGTCTAGTTCAGTGTTATATGCGTGGTTGTCAAAGTTAGGGTCCCTTTTGGGGTCCTTATTATAGTACGGCACCTAATATTTAGGGTACCCAAAAAGGGACCCTAATTTGACAACCACCCATGTGGTTTTGGGTTTTGGTTAAAGGTTTAGGAGATCAAAGCGTGTCGGCTACTGCGGGGTGCGGGGATTGAGGTCGACATGTTTAGGGTTGCGTATGGGGTTTAAAGGAAGTTAAGGGTTTAGGGTTTAGGGTTCAGGGTTTAGGTTTTAGGGTTTAGGGTTTAGAAGCTCGTCGAATTTAAGCTTTAAATAGCTTAGGGTCTAGGGTCCGGGGTTGTTTCAAAAGCTTATAGGTCTATAGGAGGCTTTAGGGCTCAGAAAGCTTAGCGCTCAGGGTTTACGGCTTAGGGTTTTGGGCTCCTTCCGGAAGGTCTCTGGAAGCTCTTGAGCCTTGCCACTAACATACGAGTAGATGTTTCTGAATCCTCGTTTACGGTCATATGATATGAGGTTCAGGGTGCAGGGCTTAGGGATAATGCACCTCGAGCTCTGGACGACCTATCCTAGGTTCCTGAGTAGTATCCTTTTGCCCGTTTTGTTTTAGGGTCCCCCCAATTAAAACAGAATAGTATCAAAAAGGGTACCCTTATTATAAAGGGGCGACTACTCCGGAACCCAGTATCTCACCCCACTGCCACAGGAAGTCTCCTTAGACGGCGCGCGGGCATTGTCCCCGAGCGTCCTGCCGAGACGTTGGCTGCTAAATCTGGACAGCGAGGAGACGGAGATTCCACTGCTTAGACATGGCGTTGACTTTACATCATGTTAGGAATCCCTCTACAATTTAAGGCACATTCCTTTATTCAGGGGTTCGGAGTGTCTTGAAGGAGAGACTGAAAGCTTTTAAGTCTTAAGCCTTATAATGTCTGTGTTTGACATGACTCTTCAAGCCCCATATTCAAAAAACCCTAAACCCCTATACCTCTCAACCCTTAGCCCTAAACCCTAAACCGTTTCTCTATAGCGCAGGAGTATGGGATCCTTTACATCGGCAGTGCCGGCGGCGCCACGGATATCCTGCGGTCCAAGGCCGTCCGCGCAGAGCGATTTCAGGGTTTCAGGGTTGTCGGGTTTATGCGAATGAGGGCTTCGAAGTTTAGGGTTTAGGATACTTCAGCTTTTCGGATTTCAATTCTTCTGATTCTGGGTGTTGAGGAGGTTTGAGGACTTTGCAGGCTACAGGCTTTACGGGTTTCAGGGTTTATGGGATGCGGGTGTAGAGTGTTGAGGTTTAGGTTTGAGGGTTTTGGTCTCGTTAGAGCTGAAGACTAGGTTCCTGAGTGGTGCCCATTTGCCCTTGTTTTAGGGCCCCCTTATTAAAACTGAATATTACGACAAAGGGCACCCTTGTTATAAAGGGGCTACTCAGGAACCTAGAAGAGGAGCCCGTTAAGGAGCACTAGTCTAATTTAGTAAGGCTGTATATGAGCCATTCTTTAAATAACGTCTTTATAAGGGTGTCGTACTAGTCTTGGGGCCTAAAAAGCGTACCTAATTTACTGAACTACCCATCATGCAACCGAAGTTGATAGCTCCCCAAAACCCACCAAACCCTAAACCCTAATTTGAAGCACTACCCGTATTGCACCCCAAGTTGACAGCTTAAAGGGAACTCCAGAAAGTTGGAATATGGTTTCAGGGTAGGATCCCCTATAATTTACCATAAAGGGTTTAGGATAATCATATTCCAACTTTCTGGCTTCTACTGTAAGCTGACGGCCCTCAGCCTCGAAACGATTCGAAGGTGAACCTGCAGGAAATGCACTGACCAGACCCAAGAACTCCACGATTTAGGCTTTAGGCTCTAGGGTTTAGGGTTCAGGGTTTAGGGTTGAGGATACAGATCCTGCATTACCTTAATGTCTCTAGCCTATGGGAATTATGGTATATTGCTCATTATGGGCAATGCAGGATTTGTATCATCAACCGTACCAAGAATGGAGCAGGGTTTCGGTTGAGGGCTTGGGCTTCGGCGTTTGGGCTTTAGGGTGCAGGCCCTGAGCCCTAATCCCTAAACCCTGAGCCCTCATTCTGGAGCCGAACCACACCAGATTGACCTCCTCGCAGCGAGCGACACGGAGCTGTAGTGACCTGTCTGCTTTCGTTTCACGTCCCTGGAGCTACCCCACAAAAAGCCTAAAGGCCCAAACAGCTTGAAGCGTTGCTGCTTTGCCTTGGCCTCTTGGTCCTGCACTGTGGTCGCACATAGAACGAGACCACCTTCAAGTTCTGCCGTAGCCTTCCTGAGTCTCAAGCCTAGACATCCAGCGGCTGTCCTCTGCAGCCTCGCAATCATCATGCGCGGAGATCAGCGGTCATGGAAGGTGGGACAACCGATCAAGGATCTGATTTTTTCGCTGTCAAGAATCTCTTCCAGCACATTCACCACGCGCCGCAACAGAGGGAGGACGGCAGCAGCAACATCCTGGACCTCGGCTTCAAGAACCGTGCCGATCTCCTCAAGCCGACGACGTGGGCGAAGCGACAGATGACGCAGAAGCCCCCGAAGACGCCGGCCAACGAGCTCCTCAAGCGGCCGGAAATCGGCCTCTCGTACCTGGCAGGCGCCATCGAAGCCTTGGAAGGTCTTCACTGTGGCTCCGGAAGCGCTAGGACCAGCTGCCTCCGTCTTCCAGGCTGCATTCGAGAAGCATAACATGCACAAGCACTGCAAGGCGCGGAGGGTCCATAAATAAGCCAGGAGCTAGACACTGCATACAGTACCCGTGCTGTCAGGTTCTGAACACCGCCGATTACCCGAATGTTCCGGTGACGGAGGAAGATACCAAGAAAGCCGTGCAGGCCACTCTGTCCTTCTTACACGAGTGGCACGCGAATTGGACTGCGGGAGCTCGGAGCATGCTGCAGTCATCGCTGCCGTATGGTGCCATGGGTCAGATCCTCGGAGCTTCCGCACTGCTGCACCAAGTCTCCTTCTGGGCGGAGAACACGCCGAACCAAGGACAGCTGCCAGCAGAAGCCTTCGAAAACTGGCGAAAGGATCCGAGCAAGATGTACCTGCTAACGAAATATCTGACGACCGCGCACTTGAGCCACCAGCATCTCAAGCGACAGTCAGCAGGAGGCGATAGCCGACAAGCCTTTGACTCTGCCGAGGCCGAGGCAGAGCTGAATTGGCAGTCCATGTCGCCAGCAGCTGGCCTGCGAACGCCGCGATCGTCAGCCAAGAAGCGCAAGCACCAGGAGGAAGCAGGCATTCCTCCTGTGCCGCAGTCTCCGGCGCCGGCAGCTGCAGAAGGCAGCAAAGACATCCTCGATACGTTCGAAGAGTTCATGGTGAAGCAGGCTGAACAGGTGGAGCGTGCTGGCCGCGCCAACGCCGTGACGCCAGGTGCCCAGGCGACCCTGAAACTCTGGGAGACCTTCTACGCGAGGACGAAGCAAGAGATCTCGGAGCAAGCAAAGAAGCTGCAAGGCGACAGAAAAGCGACCTTCCTCAAGAGAGCCCAAGCACTCATCAAGCAGGCGCAGGACTTGAGGCCGAGAATCGAGAGTGCTTTGGAGCTGCCCGTGGCATCCCGTGGCAGAGTCGTTGTCCTTCCCAGAGACGGCGGAGCCGAAGATAATGCCTGAGCAAGAAGACGGAGACTTATAGCCTTCATGCTAACACCTCAGAAGCAGGACCCGGGGAAAGCATCACCTCGCAAGCCGAAGACACCGAAGGCCAGAGCCAACAAAAAGGAGAAGGAAGCAAAGAAGGTGGTTCAGACTGCTACCCCGGAGAAGGGCCCACCTGCAGCCCCAGTGACCGCACCTGCGCCTGCGCCCTGGCCTGCAGACGACACGGTGAACTTCATTCAAAAGCTGGAGACGCTCGCGACCGAGAAAAAGAAGAAGCGGGCGAAAGCCTACGCCGCTATGGAGCGCCCCACGCCCTTCCTGCCCAGGTGATGCGGGTTCCGCTGAGCGCTGGTCTCGAGCCGCCACCCGGCCGGAGATTCGTGGACAGTTTTGGGTTGGGGATCAGAGTCTAGTGTTCGTTTAGAGTTTGGAGTTTGGAGTTTCGGGTAGAACAGATGATGGAACCAGTCGCAAAGCATCAAACCATGACAGTCTTGCGCTAGCACGAAACCTGCCCTTTCACAAACGCAGGCCCCTCGGTAGCCCTTTCTGTTCAGGGTTGGGCATTGGGCCCCAAGCATTATACCGTATGACCGTCGACTTAGACAGAAGCAATTCGGAACGGCAACGCAGCTAAAATGCAGCATCCTGATCTCTGGACTACGGCTTGAGCTGAGGGGTTAACATAGTTCTCAGGGTGCAAAGTTTGACGTTGCTATGAATTGTGCAAATTTCGGTTGTTCAGAGCAGCATAAGGTTTTTTGTTTCATGAGCGGCTTTTGGGTGCGTTCACAGCGCTTTGCGTCAGCGGAAAGCGAAGCTTTATGAGGCTGCATGGGGGGGGGCCTTTTCGGGTACTCCTTTTTGGTACGGTTCCCCTCAAAGAGTAGGAGTCTTAATGAGTCTTAGTAAGGGTGGTATAAGGGGATTTACATAGAGGCCTTAATGATTGGACTAGGGGGATCAAGGATGGTAGGGGCAAGGAAGTTAGGGTTAGGGTGTGCAAGCAAGCCTGTGCATTTGGCTTGTCTAGCAGTCGATAGCATCTCACATCAGCCCCAGGTATGACCTCATCGTCGATGGCCTTGCCGGGGGACACTCAGGCTTGGGTGGTTGAAACCGTGAGTTCAGAGGGCTATCGGTTATAGATTCATGGAGCTAGAAGTTAGGGACTCGGAGGCGTTTAGGGCGTGGTTTCCGCAGGAGGAACTGAGTCAAGTTGAGCCTGGAAGCGTTGGTTCATTGTGTGATGTGGGAGTTTCCGAAAATTAGAGGTACCGTATTTGGGGTCCGTAGAGTAAGGATCCTACTATTTAGGGTTCTATATTGGGGTCCCCTCTCATGTAAGTTATCAGGCATACCGCGACTTGTTAGATGCTTCCCGCGATCTTGGTAGCCTGTCAATCCAAAAGGTATTGTTTCTAGGTTGATGCGTGCCTTATGCAGCTCCGAGTACTCAGCAACATGAAAGTCTCAAGCCCCCAAGCCCACACCCGAAGCGCCGAACCTAAACCAGCATGACTAGCCTGCAGTACTATAGCGGCGTTTGCAGCCCTACCAGAAGGTAAATTTGCTATGAAGCTCTTGACAAATCTTACTCCCTGAAGCAGCCCTGTGAGACCCTCCGAGAGAACTTCCTACGATCTCTTAAGTCAGAACTCTGAATGGAAAATCCGACGACGCCCTTGAAGGAGACTCGGGGAACCCATCAATCCTCAAAGAGAACGCCGTCGTGATGCCCTCTGCGAATCCCGTAACCCCAAAGTTCAAGCCCCAAACAACCATCCAACAGAGTCTAACTTATCAAACAACCCTACATAGCCCTTCGGAGGGTCCTTGGGAGGGCCCCTGTACCTTAAGCATTAAACCTTAAACTACACCCTAAGCCCTAAACCCCCAAAACCCCAAACAACTCCACCTTACAGCCTAAGATCCTAAACCCTAAACCGCCTGGAACCCTAGGACCCTGGACGCCCTAAGCTTTGCTGGAAACTCCTTCAGACTCCATGATCCCTTAACTAAGGGATATACCAGAATACACCTAAATCATAGTAGGATCCCTCAGATGATTCAAGTAAGGACTATTCCTTTTAAGGAATATGCCAGAATGCGCCGTAAATTATAGTAGGATCCCTGAAATGATTTAAGGACCCTTCCTTAATTAAGGGATATTGGAGTCTCTGGGTTCCCAGAGCCTTTTGTGAGGTGCCGACATCCATCTGGGACACAAGAACGCTTTGAAAGTCGCTGCGGAGGTGGAACTCTTTGTGTTTTGGGTTTTGGTTTTTTTGGGGGGGTCGTAGTTCTCGAAATTCGGGTGTATTCTGAGGTGTATTTTGGGATGTATTTGGGGAGTGTGTTTAGGATTTAGGGTTTTGGGTTTGGAGGGTGACGAACTACTTAAACACGTAACACCAAAGACTCCGATGCTTTCTGGGCAGAAAAGACTGCTCTGGAAAGAGAGCCCTCAACCGGAAGCCCTGAATCAGAAGACGGAGATTGAGAGGGGCATAGGTGCAGCATGTAGGGTTTGGCTGTCGGCTTTCGTCTGGTTTGTCTCACCTTTGCATGTTGGCTGTAAGTGCCCCCTGCCGCTGGTCTGACCTTGTGTCTGTCAGCTTTTGGCGTTTCCTTTTCTTGCACAGGATTAGGACTGACCGTGATCGCAGTGAAGTGAAGAAGAAGTTTTGGGTTCAGGGTTGGTGGATCCTGGTCCTATATGATTCTCTAGATTAGGGTCCCTTTTAGGGTCCTGGTTTTATAAAGGTGCCGCACCATTCTTGGGACATAAAGAGGGGCCCGAATTTGGAGAGCTACATTCCTGTTTCGAACTTTTATATAGGGTTCAGGGTGTCGGGGCTTTAGAGTTTCGGGCTTAGGGATTTGGGATTCAGGGCTTTAGAGTTTTGGGTTTTAGTTTTTTTTTCTTTCATGGGTTTGGATTTTCGGGATTGGGGTTTCATGTTCAGGGTTTTGGAGTTACGGTTTAGGGGGGTAGGATATTACGGTTTTTGGGTGTAGTGTCTCGGGGTTTGCTACTTGCTTCGATAAAGTTGCAGTCTTATGGTTGCGCCATATCATGTAACAACCTGGGTTTGGAGTACCATACTTGAATACTTTGTTTGGTACCTGTTCCCGAAACGAACCATTATGAAATAGAAGTCTATACTTTTTTCGCCTTGGTTACTTCAGAGTCCAGACAATCATGATTGGTAGTCGTCGTCCTCGGCGTCGTAATGGAAGTAGGTGGTTCAGGCTTTGAGAAGCTTTGGGTTTCAGGGCCTCGGGTTCAGGGCTTCGGGCTTCAGGGTTGCTCTTTGCCTCGGTTGCTATGGTTTCCTGGTCGCAACTGTTCAAACTCGAAAACCCCAAAGCCCTACTTAAAGGATCCTGGGACTTAGTAACTAAGGTTATTATTAGGGTAACTATGCTTATAACTACTTCTGAGGTACTTGTAACCATACTTACTAAGTCCCATGATCCTCCAAGTACCTAACTCTAAATCCCGATCCCTGAACCACATACCTGAAACGTCAAACCCTGTAACGCCAGAACTGGCCAAAACCCAAACCCTGAACCCGAAACTGCAGCAGGTGGTGGCGAAGCTCTTCCAGATAGAGCTCTCTGCGCAGCTGATCGACTTTGCCGGTGGAGACAAGGCCCCGAAGACCCTGAACCCTAAACTGGGCTTTGGACTACCATACTTGAATACTTTTTGTCTTGAAGAAACCACTACGAAATAATTGCAGTTTATACTTTTTTCTCCTCGGTTACTTAACAGCCTGGCAAGCGCATAAGACCCCGAACCCTAAACCCTTTGCAGCCCGTCTCCGGGATTCGAGACCCTGAAACACATGAGCCTAAGACCCTCGCCCACAAGCCCTATATACCCTGCAGCCCCAAACCCCAAACCCTGAACCCTAAACCCTAAAGCCTAAACCCTAAACCGAAACCCAACGTTGAAAAAGCAGCCTGAGTGATGAGAGACATGGTTTAAAAGCCCTGGAGCGGACACCCAAAACCTAATGTAAATCCGTAACATTCCGCAGGGCCTTTAGATATAGGTTTTAGGGTTTAGGATGAAAGGCTTCGCGTTTCGGCTCCAGGGTGTAAGGTACCCTAGTGGAACCCAGAGACTCCAATATCCCTTAACTAAAGAATATACCTCAAGGTATAGTAGGATCCCTAATATGATTTCAGGAACATTCCTTAAGGGATATTGGAGTCTCTGAGAAACACTGAGGCTTCTATGTGACGGCTTGTCTTTTAATGGAGCTTGTGCTCTTCAGTGTTCAGGCTTCCAGAGGCTTGAGATTTGGGCTGTGGGGTTAGGGTTTAAGGGTTGAGGGTTTAGGGTTAAGGGTTTAGGGTTTAGGGTTTATTTAGGGGAGGGCCCAAACGCAGCATTTTTGGGTCCATGGGTGCTGCGTTTGGGTGTTCAGGATATAGGGTGTAGGGTTTTCAACTTTTGGGTTCATGCCACCTTACCATGATAGCAAGGTCACACTTTTCTGGGCCTGGTAACTCAGCAAGCAGGAGAGTCCTGGCGGCTATCGTCGTGCGTCCGTCATCATCCCCAACCCTACATTCTAAAGCCTAAACCCCAAACGCCTGCCCCAAGCCCTAAATCCTAAGCCTGAAACCCTAAATGCTTAATCCTGAACCCTAAATCCTAAACCCTAAACCCTAAACCCTAAATCCTGAACCCTGGATCCTAAACTGCAAAGCCCTTCGAATCTCTTCAGGACAATGCCATCCCAAGGCTGGCCTTCGTCCGCTTGGGCCTGCCAAGTGAGAAGGCCATCTTTCTTTATAGGGTTTAGGGTTTAGGGTTTAGGGTTTAGGGTTTAGGGTTCAGGGTTTAGGGTTTAGGGTTTAGGGTTTTCCTCAAAAAGCCAAAATGACGTCAACGACTATAGGGGCCGAAATAATTTCCTATGCTGTCTTTTGGGGTTCCCTATTCCAACTATAGTATAATGGGCCCCAGAACAGGGTTTAGGGTTTAGGGTTTAGGTTGGGTTTAGGGCTTTGAATTTAGTCATTATGAAGACGGCTGGGTATTCCGTAGCTTTAAGCCAGATGCGCTCTGAACCTTAGGCTTCGTTGGGTTTAGGGTTTTAGGGTTTAGGGTTTACGGTTTAGGGTTTGGAGGTTTCCTTTACCCAAAGGGCCGAGAACTTGGGAAGGGATCGGCAAAAATAAGCATTGTGAACAATCTGGCCTTCGAGACGGGTGAAGCCTAAAACCTGAGCCCTGAGCCCTACATGATCGTTTCCGAAAATACGGGACCCTAATATAGTACCCCAAATAGTAGGATCCTTATTATAAGGACATCAAAATAAGGTACGTGCCCCTAATTTTCGGAAGCTCCTAAATCCCAGCCCTTCATCCCCCTAAACCCTAAACCCGAAACCCGAAACCTTAAACCCTAAACCCCCAACCCTTGACCTCTAAGCCGGAAAGCCCAGAACCCCAGAGCATTGAACCCTGATCCTTTGTGAAACCCTTAAGGGTTCCTTTAATCCAAGGGTAGAAGGAGGGACCCTTAATAAGGATGCCTAGGTATATACCCTTAATATAGCTATTATATACCCATTATATACCCATTATATAGTAGTCCCGATTAAGGGTCCCTCTTTTGACCCTTTGATTTAAGGGTTCCCTTCTGGGCTTTCGACGGGAGTCCCCAGCCCCAAAGCCCTCAAATCCGCGACCCCGGCGCTAAACCCCAAGTCCGCAAAACGCCCCCAGACCCAACTCTACCGCCCCGCAGCTCTAAAACCTACATCCTACCGGAAGCCCAAATAACCTACCGTTTACAGATTTATGTCAGGAAATTGCAGCAAGCAACCTTGAAATATGGGGTACCGATCTTTCCCAAACTGTGCAGGTGAAGCTTCTGGAGGAGTCCCTGCGGAGCTTTGAGTCAGAGATCCGCGGAGAACTGACAGAGGCGGACAAAGACTTCCGCATCTCCCTGAAGGCGCGCGAAGTACTACAGGAGGTTACTATAGGGGCCTTAATAATTAGAATAGGGTTCCTTTAAAGGGGTCTATAAGGGCTACCATAAGGGTTCTATATTAAGGCCCCTATATTGGGGGGTTTAGGCTTCTTGAAGGAGTGTTTATGGGCCTGTATGGCGCAGACAGGTTTAGTTGGTGCTCTAGGGTCCAGGACGCCAGGCTTGTTGAAGTTGGAGCTTCGTTGTGGGCAGCGTTCGGAGTTTTGGAGGTATATAGCCATGCTTGAGTGGATGAGCTTCTTGCGTAAGCCTCGTACTCTGAGTCGTAAAAACACAAGACGACAAGCCTCAACCCTAAACGCAAACCCTTGACCCGAATCGAAACCCCAAGACCCTAAACCCTAAACGCTGGACGAAAGCCCTGAGCCCTAAATAGTAAACCCTCAGCTCTGAATGCTTCACCTTAAACCCTAAACCCTGAACCATAGTTGGAGGATCATGGGACTTAGTAAGTAAGGTTATAGGTACCTTAATTGGGGTTATAAGCAGTTATAAGTATAGTTACCCTAATAAGAACCTTAGTTACTAAGTTCCATGATCCTTTAAGTACTGGCCCTGACGCCACAAGGCCCAGAACCTGCTATCCGAGAGCCAAGCACCCTTAACACTCAAGCCACCAAGGCCCTAAAGACGCAAGCCGTAGTCCAGAGCTCAACAAGCGCAGCAACCCTGACTTAGGGTTTATGGTTTCCCGACCTCGGTTTGAAAAGCTGTAGTGGCTTGATTCCTCCAAGGCCATTCTTTTCAGCTTCTTGGGTTCTCATAAGTTTAATGATGCCGATCAGGGTGTTCGGCAAGTGATTTTTCGATCGGTAGTCATCTACAACGCTACCTGTTTAGGGTGTGCAGGGGAGGGTTTAGGGTTCTTGGCTTAGGGTTCGCCTGCGGTCATCTAGACCGGACTGCATTGCAACAAAACCCGCAAGCAATTTGCTAGACCCGAAAAGGCTTGAGATACTGGCCGGAGGACCCTGAACCCTAAACCCTAAACCCAAAACCCTAAACCCTAAACCCTAAACCCAAAGCTGTCAATCCTAACCTCTGGAACCCTAAGCCCGAGCCTGCTAGAAGGGACGTCTTTTCAGGGGCTCATGTCGATTTCGGAGCACTTGCTGCTGCACAGCCGGGTTTAAGTTGCAGGCTCCGGGGATTTTGGGGTTTAGGGAATCATCGTAGGATCCTACACATGTAGGCTGTCTAAGGTTAAGGCTACCTGAACCCCCAAAGTATGTAGAACAATCGCATTTTATAGGTTTTGGGCCATTATTCTACCTACTTTTGAGGGTCTAGGTACTCCTAAACGATAAGCCCTTGCGACGTGCCTTAGCTGCCAGTCGCCGGGTGCCGTGGAGTGGCCCGAGGCATTGCACGAGGCGGGCCCCCAACTGAGACTTTCCAGTTTAGGGTTTAGGGTTTAGGATATAGTACCCTAAATAATGGGATCCTTATTATAAGGACCCCAAAACAAGGTACCCGAACTTTCGAAAACTCCCAACTAGGCCTCCTGTCCCGCAAAGTAGACCCACTGTAAACAGGGAGTTGTTTTGGAGAGGGGCAGGAATGGTTCAGGTGCAGGGAGGTGGTTTCAGGATTCAGGAGTCTGGGTTTAGTTATTGCAAAAGCCCATTCCTCAGCAGCAATCCGCAACCTCTGAACCTTAAACCTTAACCCCCTAGGCTCTGCACTTCAGGGCTCTTCAGAGGATTTCGGACTGGGTGGCTGCGTGCCGAAAAGCCTTAGATGGTTTAGGATTGAAGGTTTCTTGGAGGTTCATGGGTAGCTCTAAGTAGGGTTGTAAGTTGTAAGTGGGGTGACTATACTTAAAAACCCATATTAGGGGACTTATAACCGTGCTTATCACTACCCTTGAACCTCCAAGTAGCAAGGCTTTAGGACTTTAAGTTCCGTAAATCCCATACGTATGGGTCCTGATAGCCTCAGGGTGGAAGAACACGGGGTCTGAAGAACTAGTGTGCATATGCCGATGTGTCCTTACACTCTTGATAGAAGTATCTTATAATCTCCATTAAAGTCTATAGTCGTATCGGTGCTGCTACCACTGGATCCAGGAACCTCAAACCCTGACGTGGATGCTAAGCTCCAAACCCTAAACCCTACACCCTAAACCCTCTTTTGGTCAAAAGGCCCAACACCCCACGCTCAAACCCCAAACCCTAAACCCTACACCCTAAACCCTTGGTTTATCAAAAAGCCGAAAACCCCAGGCTCAAACCCGAAACCCTAAACCCTACACCCTAAACCCTTAGTTCAACCAAAAAACCTTAAACCCCAAGCTCAAAACCCTAAGCCCTTCATCTAAGCCCCTACCCCTCCGTTACAAAGAAAAACCCAAAACCCCAAGCTCAAAACCCTAAGCCCTTCTCAATGCATCTGCCAGGCGACGCGGGGCGCTCTGCAGCAGCTGCTGGAAGCCATCCCGCACGGCCCACTAAGGCCGGGCCACGCAGAGATGCCAATATCCCGTAATTAAGGAATATACCTGAAACCATAATATTAAGACCCCTATAATTTAAGGTACATTCCTTAATTCGGGGATATTGGGATCTCTGAGTAAGCAGAGCAGGCTCGGAGCAACTCCGAAAACCTCGTCTAGTAAAGAAGCTTGAAGCCTAGATGGGCCCCTTTTACAAGGAATCCTCTACAGAACCTTACCTATTAGTTGTTGCCCTATTCTATGAACCCAAAAACACTAAACCCTGAAACCACCAAAACCACCGAAACCCCCAAACCCCTAAACCCCTAAACTTTCAGTATCTAAACTTTCGGGGTTTAGGGTTTTAGGGGTTTAGGGATTCTGGTTGTTTTAGGATTTAGGGTTTTAAACCCTAAACCCCTGAACCCGAAACCCTAAACCCTAAACCCTAAACCGTCTAAACCCCTGAACCCTAAACTTAAGTACTTGACAGGTCCTCGGAGCAGGTCCCCGGGCTGGTGGAGACCTCCAACAACTTGGCGAAAGTGAGATCTTTGGCATGGGTTTAGGGTTTAGGGTTTAGGGTTTAGGGATCCGTCGGTTTGGGTGTAATATAGGGGCCTAAATAATTACCAATACTAGTTTAAAGGGCTCCTTATTATAGTTATAGTATAATGAGTGAGATCTTTGGCATCAGTCGTTTGGGTTCAGGGCTTCAGGGTTTAGGGCTTACCTGGGGATCCAAAAACCTATGGTTTTAGGGGTTAGACCCTCTAGTTAAGGGGTCATAACCTACTATTTTGTAGGGTTTCAGGGTTTACGGTTTAGGGCTTTTAGGGTTTTTAGGAGATCAGTCGGGCAGGGTGGGTTTAATTAGGGTTTTTGTAGTTTTTAGGGGTTTCGGGTTTTGGGGGCTTTAGGGTTTTTGCTTTCTTCATAGACGTCTGTCCCTAATCCCGAAGCCTGAAACCCGAAACGCACACAATCTTAATCCCCAAACCCTCAACCTTCCAACACCAGACTAAAACCAACACCCGAAAGCCTAGTGATGGTTCGGGGCTTAGGGTTAAATGCAGGAACCTGATTAAGAAACCCTGGGCCTTTAGTAGGGCTCCTTGTATTTCAGGTTACAGGGGGGTTTTAGGGTTTAGGGTTGAGGGGTTCCTTCAAAGGGATCTATAAGGGATCTATAGGGTTTTTTGGGGGGTTTAGGGTTTAGGGTTTACAGCAAACCCCATAAAGTTGGAAACTGGACTAAGGCCAAATAGTGCTGGGATTCCCTATACACTACTCTTAAAGATGGAGGCTCTGGGGTTTCCAACTTTTGGGCTTCTACTGTTACAGGATGTGGTCAAGGGGGACTTGCACCTGGCTCAAGGTTACTTGGAGGTTCATGGGTAGTTATAAGTAGGGCTAAAAATCCCCTAATATGGGGTACACGTATAGTTGCCCTACTTATAACCCTACTTATAACTACCCATGAACCTCCAAGTAGGATGTAGGGTTTAGGGCTTTGGGTTTAGGGTTTAGGGCTTTGGATCTAGGGCTCAGGGTTTAGTTTTTAGGGCTGGGTTTCGGGTTTTGGAGCACCTCGGCTGAAGCGCTTCCGGGGATACTGGGGCAATGCATGCCGATGATTCTGATAGTCTCGCATAGTAGTCCCTAGCACCCATTCCCCGAATTCCCTACTGAGAGCTAGCAAGTTTATCGCGAGACCTAGACCCTACCTTAATCCTATGTAAGCCGCCCTTTTCGAGTTCCTTATTATGACTTCCTTACACAAATCTTTAAGAAGGTGGGTTCTTTGGGGTCCAGGTAAATCGCAAACCTTCTCCCTAGGTCTTGGCTGGCAGGCCCTACTTCAAGGATCATGGGGCCTAGGGTTTAGGGTTTATCAACTAGGGTTGCTTTTGGGGTAGCTGAAGCTGCTGAAACCCCCGACGATTTTCCTAGAGAGTACATCATCTCTTCATGTCGTAGTGTTCACATTTCTTGATCCCTTTACATGAAGCTATTGGGAGTATTGAAGGGCGAGCAGTTGCTTTAATGTTCGCTGAGACTCCAACACCCCCCAACTAACTCCCGGGCTCCGAATCGGGAGTGGGGGAATGGATCCCTATGAAAGTCACTTGTCTGTCCCTGTGACCCGTTCCCCCTACTCCCTGCTAAGAGCTGGTGCCGAGAGACTATCGCAACAGCTAAACCCTACCTATATCCTGGATAGATACGCAACCTACGTTGGTAGAGTTCCTGATTATTGTTTCCTGATCTAAGTCCACTGAGAACGCGGGAGCTGACTGTTTCCAGGTATCGCTGGCGATACAGTCAGCGTCACGCACTTTGCGCGCTCGGCCGTGGACGCGCAGCTCGCGGAGTTCCGCAAGAAGATGAAGGAGAGCTCATTCTTTTGCCCTTTTGATTCAAGGGCCCCCTCATTAAACCCGAATAGTAGGAAAAGGAGTAGCCATCGTTTTCAAAGGGGCTACTCAGGAACCTCGGTAAGAGCTGCAGCGGAACCTACATATGAAGCCCGGATGATGAGGATGATTCCTTAAGGGTTCCTTATGATATATAGCTTCTAGAATATTCCCTGAAACGCCTACGTACCCTCACATAATCTAGTTATGAAGGACCCTATATTACATTGAAATTTGGCGAGGAGGCTTTTAGGTTTCAGCGGAAAGCCAGTCGATCAGGACCTCGCGGATTCCACAGGCTTCCAAGTCGACTACGGAGTGCAGCTACCAGGCCAGCTACTGTAGGGGCTTAAATACTTACCAATACCATTTTGCGGACTCCTTATTATAATGATTTTATAAGGGGCCCCAACCCCTATTCTAATTAATTTCCAGTGTAGTCATATTTAAAGTAGTGAACCAATAGCGGTGATGATTTGAGCGCCTTTGCTAGTCTTGGGGCGAGGGGAAGTATTAGGGTTTGGGATGCAGGTTTTAATGTTTAAGCGGTTTGGGGTTCATTGCTTGTGGGTTTCGGGTGTGGGGGCTTGGGTTGATGTCGTTCTGCAGCAGTGCATGAATTCGGCCTCGTAGTGCCAAACCCTAAGCCCTTGCGAATCAATGCCTCTGGGCAGCGTCGCTGAGCAAGGCAATAATCTAACTTCCCCATCACTGGAAAATGGGGCAACAGATCACGGTGTCACCCGCTTCAATCGTACACTTGGGAAAGTTTGAAGGTTGAAGGGTATATTTGCGTCCGGCCTTCTTCAAGTCTGTCGCTAACGTTCCTGAGGCCGCAGACCTAGACGCCCAAACTACATGAAGTCGTCAATACAAGCTACGCCCGGAGCGATATATGGCTAAACCCTAAACCCTAAACCCTAAGCTACAAGTAGCAGGACTGGGATAGAACAATGCCAAGGCAGCCGGGCATACCCTGCACAAACACTGGTTGGCCCTTGCAAGCTGCGAAAGCGCAAGGTCTGCTTAAATTTCAATACAATTCCTGAGGGTTTGAAACGATAGGCTACCCCCGAATCCCTACTCCAACCATCAAGGCCTCTCAATCATCAAACTCTTCTAGTAGCCGTTGTAGAACCCGTTAAAGCATCCTTAAAGGAACCCTACTTGGGGTTCATGGTGAGTCATAAGTGGGTTCAAAGTAGGATAAGTATTGGTATGAACCCGTATTAGGGGAGCTATAACCCCACTTATAACTACCCATGAACCTCCACGCATAAACCCTAAACCCCTAAACTCCTAAACCCCTTGGAAATACTCGAGTGCCATGAGAAATGTTTTTGGCCCAGATCAGGAGCCTATGGAGTGTCCGATAGCGTACGTGTCCCCACAAGAGGTGTGGAACAATTATTGTAAAGGTGGTCGGTCCCGTCGCCGTGCGAACGCAGGCTAATTCGTAATTTGTACATCTAAATCTTCTGGCTAAGGATCCAGGCGTCGCTCTCGCTCGGATTGTCTGCTGACTGCTTGCATAAACTCCTAAACCCCTAAACCCAAAATCCCTAAACCCTAAAACCCTGAAGCCCCAAACCCTAAATCCCCTAAACCCTGAACCCGAAAGAACCCTAAAGAACCCTATGTTCCTAAGGCCCCCAATACTGTTGACGGACAAAATCCTGCATTACCCACAATAGGGAATATACCATAATTCCCATAGTTTGGGGTCATTGAGGTAATGCAGGGTTTATATCATCAACCCTAAACCCTAAAGCCTAAAACCCTATAGATCCCTTAAAGGAGCCCCTTAAAGGTACCCCTTATGGATCCCTTTAAAGGAAGCCTAGGGATGTTTACCTTCCACCGTATGTCGCGCGTTTCAGCTGTCAGGGTGGGCGCCCAACGCCAAGTCTCGTCTCTTGGAGCTCTCCAAGGATCGGTTTAGGGTTTAGGGTGTGGGGTTTAGGGTTTAGTCTTGGGGGTTAGGGTTTGGGGTTTAGGGTTTAGGGCTTAGGGTTTAGGGTTTAGGGGTTCAGGGCTTAGGGCTTAGGGTTTAGGGGAGGTCGGAGATGAAGGGGGTTCAGATTGCCTTACCCCGCAGAACGAAGCCGAAGCCGAGAACATCACCACAACTCAGAAATGAGGCCCACAGCGCCACTTTCTAAAGCCGGGCCCCGAATTAAGCCCTGAACACCCAAGCCCAGAACCTCAGGCCATCCTACTTTCCAACATCGCTTTGACACATTGGGAACTTTGGAGCCCTATCATAGGACATTAGCGCAGCAAGCCTTTTTTGTAGTTATTACAGCCTCAAGTACACAGAGACTCCAAAACCCCTTAATTAAGGAATATACCTTAAATCATATAAGGGATCCTACTATAATTTAAGGCATATTCCTTAATTAAGGGGTATTGGAGTCTCTGGGTATGCATGGCCCGTAAGCCTTAAATCCCAAACCCTAAGCCCTAAACCCGAACCCTTCTCTGATCTGGGCTCTAATTTGTATAGCCCAGTATAGCCATAGCTATTCCTTTTAAGGGTTCTATGTAACCCGTACATTCCGTATTTGGGCTGTATGTATAGCACAGATTTGGGTTCCTAAAATTTTGTATGCCCATAGGCTCCATAGTAGTTCCTTTTTGGGAATTACCTTATAGGATTCTATACATGAACCCCAAAAAGAACTACTATGGAGCCTCTCGGTAGCCCTAACTGCCCAGAATCCCGGGAGAATCTAGAAAGTAGATCCCCTAATCTGGGGCCTATACTACTGAGGGTTCTTTATAGGAACCCCCCCCATTAAAGGGATCTATTTTTTGGATCCTCCAGGGGGTCTGGGTAAGGTTACTATTGGGGTAGCTAGACTAATTAGTACGTATAACCCCAGTTAAGGTACTTATAAACCCTAAACCCCTAAACCCTAAACCTCTAAACCCTAAACCCTAAACCCCTAAACCCTAAACCTCTAAACCCTAAACCCCTAAACCCTAAACCTCTAAACCCTAAACCCTAAACCCCTAAACCTCTAAACCCTAAACCCCTAAACCCTAAACCCCTAAACCCTAAACGCCTAAACCCCGAAACCCTAAACCCCTAAACCCGGGGTAGTCTTTATGCGGTCGTTGGGGCCTTCGCCAGGAGGTGTTCGTGGAGCTGGAAGGCAGGACACCTGAGGCCCGCCTTCTCGGAGGATTTAAGGTAAAAGCCAGAAAGTTGGAATATGATTATCCTAACCCTTCTATGGTAAATTACAGGGTATCCTACCATGAAACCATATTCCAACTTTCTGGAGTTCCCTGTAGTGCCTTAGGTTTTCCGTTCAAGGGCGCCTCCACCAGTCCTAGAAGGGTTTAGGGGTTTAGGGTTTCGGGGTTTAGGCGTTTAGGGTTTAGGGTTTAGGGGTTTAGGGTTTAGGGGTTAGGGTTTAAAAGTACCTTAATCGGGTTATAAGTATTAATTAGAAAAGCTACCCCAACAGAAACCTTATAGGGTTCCTTTCAGGTTTCCTTGTGGTTCCCTTAAGTTAAGGCTTTCAAGGTTCCTTTAGCAGCGGGGTGCGTGGAGAACTGGGTTCGGATTGTGCTATGGAGGGCCAGGGTTGGTGGGCCCGGGTCTCGCGGGGACCCGCGCCAAGTCCCAAAAAGATCCTAAACCCTAAACCCTAAACTCTAAACCCTAAAACTCCTTATCTGATCATTTGGCTGTGAGCTTCTCGAGGAATCGGGTGACGTCACCCTCGGCTTCCTTCCTGGCATTTTGAGTCTTGCTGTGGCCTTGCCTCTACAGATGTCTAGGCAAAGGGAGGCTTGGGTGAGTACAGAAGCCTGGCCGAGCCTAAATCATGTGTATTCTGTGCTGATAGATCCCACGAACGATGTCTGCACAACCATTGTATCAGCATGGTACATTGGTCTTTGCTTCGAGCCCCAAACCCCAGTCGCAGCCTCCAGCTGTTGCGGGTCCTCTTTCTTAAGCCTCCGTGTCGTAAGCCGAAAATTGCTGGGTTAAGAGTTTGCGGCCAGGACCATTCAGCATACAAAGTCTTGAATAGCACATGGAAGAACTTTATAGGTTTTGGCCCTGCACGCTTGGTCTGTCGTCGAAAATAGGTACTTTTTTTGCACCGGTTATCGAAGAAAGCAGAGGTGGCAGCCCTAAGCCCTAAACCCTAAACCCGGTTATCGAAGAAAGCAGAGGTGGCAGCCATCCATGCTGGTCTCGAATGCGGTGTCTTTGCAGAGACGTGGCTGCAGAGCTGTCGGCTTGCGGGGGCTTGGTTACTATAAGGGGCCTACTTAATTCCCTAGGGTTCCCTTTAAAGGGCCCCTTAAAGGGGTCTATAAGGGATCTATAGTAGGGCTCTAGAATGCAAGGGCCTAAATAGTTAGCAATACTAATTTGGGGTGCCTTCTTATATTTATAGTATTATAGGCCCCAAAACCCTATTCTAATCATTAAAGCCCCTATATTACATGTTCAGGACTGACTATAGCCGTTTGAACAAGTGGGTAGTTGTGAAAATTATGGTCCCTTTTTGAGCACCCTAAATACTAGGCGCCGTATTATATTAAGAGTCCAAAAAGAGACCATAATTTTGACAACCACCCACATGTTCAGGAATGACTATAGAGACGTTTGAATAAGTGGGTAGTGGTTTTCCTTACAGTGCAGAACCCTCTTTACGTTAGGACTGCAGAGCAGTATTGGAGTTTCCGAAAATTAGGGTACCTTATTTGGGGATCCTTATAATAAGGATCATACAATTTCGGGAAATATTGGGGTCCGCTATTTTCGGAAATCCCCATATACCCCAAACCCTACTGTCAATGTTAAGCCTCACGGCACTATCTGCGGGCTGAGGCTCTATGTTTAGGTGTGGGGTGCAGGGTTTTTTGATTTGGGGATTTAGCGCAGGAGCCTTTCTCTGTTACCTGTACTACTGTTGGGTTCCTTTAAAGGGATCTATAAGGGTACCTTTAAGGGGTTCCTTTAAGGGATTCTGGAGGGTTTTAGGGTTTAGGGTTTAGGTTGATGATATAAATCCTGCATTACCTTACCGATCCGAGACTATGGGAATGAAGGTATATTCGTTATCATGGGTAATGAGTACTGCAGGATTTTTTATGATGAACAGTATTCCTCGAAGTTCGTGATTATCAGCCTACCAGAACGGATGCCCTACAACCTCTTCTACTTATCAAGGTCCCTAGATACTGGGAATTCGATGTTGTTTGGGGTATTGAGACCTAAACCTTAAACCCTAAACCCTAATCCCTAAATCCTAAACCCTTACATAATGGGAGATAATGGGAATTCGAGGTTGTGTGGGGATTTGAACTGGAGACTGCCTTCCGTGCATCTTGCAGTCCCACTGCCGAAGCGGTGTAGGGTTTAGGGTTTTTGGGTTTCTGGATGAGGCTCGTGTTTCAACGCACTTAGGGGGGTCTCCTTAAGCGTCTAGAGTTTTGAGGTACTGGGTCTCCGACCTTAAACACGAAACCCTAAACCCTAAACCAGTAGTGGTGTCATGCGGTGTCAAGGAAAAACTCCAAGGGATCGACATGATCTCTTTTGGGCCCGATATACAAGGCTGTCGGCTTCGGGTTCCGGGTCCCAGCGGCCTGAAATTACCCAGAGGCTCATACCCTGCCCCTGTTTTGGGATACCTCGAATTTATGTTTAGGATCTGTTATCTTAAAAAGTAGGCGCCCTAAACAGGGGGTAGAGTATGAGCCTCTAGGTAAGGTTTAGGCATTTAGGGTTTCGGTGTTCAGGATGTCAGGGGTTCGCGGGATTTTGAGGTTTCGGGGTTTAGGGCTAGGTGAGGATGGAGGATTTCGAGCTTTCGGACTTAAGACTTAGGTTTGTCGACCTGACATACCGGGTACAAGTTGAGTCAGGATGTGTGACTGGGTCTGTCTCTCTTTCCTTTCCCTACGGATGAGCTGTTGGAGTCACTAAACTCCTACACCCCAAAGCCCTGAGCGGCCCTAAACTCCTAAACTCTTAATCCTTTACCTCCACATGCGTGTTCCCAGGCCTCTACACCGCTTGAGCTGGCAAGCTAATCTTTCGCTGCTTCAGCTATCCTTCGGACATGGGACACCAGCTTTCAAACTGAAAACCTTGCACCACAGTCTTACACAAATCCTGTCTAGCCAGAATCAAGGCCAGAATCAAGGCTTATAGATTCCTAAACCTAAAGCGAGAATCCTACAGCCCAAACCCGAATGCGTTCCGACGTCCCCTCAACCCTGAGCCCTAAACACTAAACTCTAAGCCCTACCTGTATCCCCAAACCCTACAAAATTAGTAGGTCATGACCCCTGAACTAGAGGGTAGAACCCTTAGAACGGTAGGTCTTTGGATCCCAAGCTAAGCCCCAAACCCTGCACCCCACTTGCAGGTTCATGCTAGCTATACTTATAGCCCATATTAGGGGACTTTTAGCCCTACTTCTCACCACCCCTGAGCCTCCAAGCAAAGCCTAAGCCTCCAACTGCACACATCGCGCGCACAGTCGAAGCCGACGCAGGCGCACACGCTCCCGGTGAGAAAGTGGAGGCCGCCTAGCAAGGGGAAGGGCTTAGGGTTTAGGGTTTAGGGCTTTCGTACAATATCCCAAGTATCTTAAAGGACTTTCAGATCAAGTACAATAACGCGAAGAACCAGCATCAGTTGAATACCACTAATGTGAGCAACCAGAACAGTATTGACAATCGAAGTAGTAATCGCAGTAGTTCTCTCATTGAGCATCAGACTCTTGTATTTGTGTGTATATAAATATATACATATACACACACACACACACTTTTCACATTTTACTTTCTGCCTCTCTCGCTCTCTCTCTCTCTCTCTGTCTCTCTCTCTCTCTCTCTCTCTCTCTCTCTCCCTGTCTCTCTGTCTAAGCCCTAAACTGTATCCGGCTTGGGGCAGTAGGCATCGTTGGTGTTGCAGGTCAGCTCCGTGGCAAGGAACTGGGAGCTGCCCCTTGCGCCTGGATATTGCGGGTGTCTGACATACCCTGGGCATTAAAATAGACCAAAACCCTTATGTAGTATGGTCTTTGGGCCCAAAATCCTCAATATATGAGAGTCAGTCGGTTGATGATATAATTCCTGCTTTACCCATAATAAGGAATATACCATGATTCCCATAGTTTAGGGTCCTTAAGGCAATGCAGGATTTATATCATCAGCCGTTTCGATGCCTAGGGATAGGGCTTAGGGTTCAAGGCTTCCCTAAACCCTAAACCCTAAACCCTAAACCCTAAACCCTAAACCCCTAAACCCTAAACCCTAGGGCTTGCAGTCCTGAGTTTCGGAGTCGAAGTTGTGTGGTGGAGACTCTATACTTGGAGGTTCATGGGTAGTTATATAAGCAGGGCCCCTTTAAAGGGATCCATAGGGCTATAGGGTTTGGGGTATAGGATTTTAGGGTTTAGGGTAGTGATAAGTAGGGTTGTAAGTAGGGTAACTATACTTATAACCCATATTAGGGGACTTATAACCCTACTTATAACTACCCATGAACCTCCAAGTAAGGGTTTTTGTAGCATGTTGTCCTCAAGAATCAGAACATGGTTTTGGGTGCTGGGGTATGCTATACTTTGATTGTGTACTCAAGGAACCCTATAAAGATGGTATTAAGCCAGTAATCATGCCCCTCTCTTGCTGTTTAGAGCTTCAGGCCAGTGATTGAGGCATTCAAATTCTCTAATCTAGGGGCCTGAATGATTACTAATGCCATTTTGGGTTTTCCTTACTAAATACAATTTTAGTATAATACACACCAAAACCCTATTCTAATTATTACGGCCCCTAATATAGAACCCTATTATGGATCCCCTATATACCCCTTTAAGGATCCCTTTAAGGGAACCCTATTCTAACTACTAAGGCCCCTATATCAGGACCCGAGGATTTCCGGCTTAGGTTTCGGCTTGAGGGTTTTGGGATTCAGGGCTTAGGGCTTAGGGTACAGGGTTTCGGGCTTAGGGTTTAGGGTATAGGGTTTAGGGCTTATGGTTTTGGGAATTCAAAGTCCAAGATTTTTCGGACATCGGGGTGTCATGATTACCACCAAGAGGAGACCTCAACCCTCCATTCCGGCAGTTTCCTGCCATAGGCCAGGCAGCCGGCGCAGGTTCTTCATCCCCTGAGCCCCTGAGCCCTCAACAAAAGCATTATTCCCGAAACTCCAAGGGTAAAAGGAGGGACCCTTAATCAGGACCCCTAGGCTATATACCCTTAATATAGCCACTACATGCCCATTATATCGCCCATTGTAGGGTAGGGGTCCCCATTAAGGGTCCCTCCTTTTCCCCAAAACCCCAAACCCTTAACCCTAAACCCTATAGATCCCTCTACACGGACCCTTATAGATCCCTTTAAAGCAACCTTAAGAGCCCTAAATTAAGGGTCCCTACTTTTCCCCTTTGTTATACCTTCGAAGCTTAAAACTCGAGTTTTGCCGCAGCCAGAGGCTTCTTGGGCTGTTGGCACGCCTCGCCCAAGAGCCGCCCCAGCGTGCCGAGCTGTGAATCCGGAAAAGACGGCGCTGTTTGAATTTTAACCATAGGCTCCATAGTAGTTCCTTTTTGGGATTACCTTATAGGATTCTAAATATGAATCCCAAAAGGAACTACTATGGAGCCTCTGGGTGAGGAATATGACTTAAAGCATGATGCCTTGCACCCCAAACCTTGAACCCTCAGTCCTGAACCCGAGATCATGCACCCTAAACCCTGAACCCTAAGTCCTGAACCGCAAGTCCTGAACCCTATCCTACACCCTGAGCCCGAAAGCTTCTTTGCCTTGGAGCTGACGCTGTTTTCTTCACTTCTGGGATGTCGGCTGTAACTGCAGGGCTGTGGGGTTCTGAAGCTTTAAGGCCCGACGGGTAGAAGGGGCCTTACTTGCCTTGCCTCTAACGGTCCAAATACTTGGGCTTAGGGTTTAGGGTTTGGGGGGTACTTGAGTTTTGGGTGTGAAAGCAATTACAAAAAGGAGCCTGTGATTATCATACCACCCCCGAACCCAGAATCCTCAGGGCCAAGAAGCCTCAAGGCTCTAAACCTCTAATGTCCCAAAGGGTCCATGTACCCACATACTGTATACTTTGGCCCTAAAAAAATTATATAGGGACTACTTCAAGGCCCATGTGTAGACTATATAGCTACAGGGACCCTCAGGGTATGGGAGTTTAGGTGTTGCGGTTTAGTATAAGCAGCTTATGATGTACTGAACCCCCCAAAAACACGTCTCTGATTTTTCTCCGACAGAGCCCTTAACCCTAAACCCCTCAACCCTCAAATCTTAAACCCCGAACCCAGAACCCCAAGTTTTTTAAGAAGCCTGAAAGCCTTCGTAGCTGAGTGGATACACTTTACACTTTGTGGGATAATGTTACCCGCTATAAAAACTGAAAGTGTGCACTCTTGGGGGCTTATGAACTCAGCAACTAAGAAGCCCTAAACCTCTGCCTTCAGGCCAAGCAAGCTAAGGACAAGGCCGAACCGGACAAGCCGGGGCCCCGGTGTTGCCTCTGAGCTTTGAACCCTAAGGCTCAAGATGGCCCCAAAAGCCTTATAGAATATACGGTCTTTAGGCCCAAAAGCCTTAAAACATGAGTCCTTAGAGCCTTAGGGTAGTTTTAGGGTTTGTAGGGCTTAGGGACCGTGGCAGGGCTCGTTTACAGTTCAGGGTTTAGGATTTAGGAATGTTTAGGACTTTAGTAGATGAACCACCTGGGGGGGATGCATGGTCTTGACATGAGTTTGGGTGAGCGCCTAAGGAGTTAGGTTTTCGGTGTGAAGGTCTTCCAACTACTTAGATAGTGAACCGGGGGAACTTTAAACTTTTGGATATTAGCTTTAAGGGTTTTGGGTTTAGGGCTTAGGGTTTAGGGTATTAGCTTTATCTTAGAAAGTTTGAACTTTTTTGGGGGCCCGGTTGTTGAAGAGAGACTATTCCCAAAGGCTCCATGTACCCATATAGTGGGTACTTAAGCCTTAAAGTAGCCATATAGGGACCCCTTTAAGGCCTAAGTACCTACTATATGGGTACATGGAGCCTTAGGGATTGGGGTTTTCGGGTTTGGAGTTGTGGGGGTTCGGAGTTCAGGGCTTGGGCTCGGAGGTTTGGGATAATAGGGTTTTCGGGTGTTTAGCGCTCAGGGTTTAGGGTTTAGGGTTTAGGGTTTGGGGTTTAGGGTTTAGGGGATAAGGAGGATGTAGTTTGGAGCTTGGGGGGCACAATGTTGGATTTCTTGTGTTTAGTACTTCTGGTTTCCCGAATTTCTGTACCAGCACTTGTGCAGTAGCATGAATGTATTGACTGACCATATGCGCAGGCTGCGCAGGGTCAGTGCTTAAGCCGCTAAACCCTAAACCGCAAACCCCCTAAACCCTAAACCCTAAACCCTAAATCAAATCCTAAACCCTAAACCGTGTTCTCTGTTTAGTGGTGATTTAGAGCTTAGACTTTCAGTGAGTTAGGCGAAAGGGACGAAGGTTCGGGGTTGGGGCGCAGGGTTTGGGTTGTGCGGCTTTGCAGAACTTGGGGTTTAGGGTCTAGGGGTGTTTCTATGGCTTGGGATTTAAGCTTCTCGGTTTTAGGGCATTGAGCTTGGGGTTAAGGGCTTGGGGTCTGTGTGTTATTTCCTTGTCTTTTCAGCTTTGCAGGTACGAAATTGAGCGTGTAGGCCTGGGTTGAGCTGTTGCAGCGGGTCGGGCTTAGGTTTGGGGTAAGCTTCGCAGTTTTTGTCTAGGACCTAGAGTAGGCCCTTATTCCCTTTTTGTTGGGTTCAGGTTCCCTTTTAAGCCCCTTTAAACCAAAAAGGGCACCCTTTTTATTCCTAGGTTACTCTTGTGTCTAGTTGTTTTGCTATTCAGGCGAGGACAATAGATGTTTAGAGACGTCAACTGGTGATTGGCTGTTTATGCGTTATGTCCCTAACACTGCAACTAGTCTAAAGTAGGTAGCTTCCCTGTACTTCAAACCATACTCTAAACCGCCAAACCTCTAAAGGAGGCATCATTAATGTGAGTGTTACTTGCTGGCGTGCGCACGGACCTCTCGGAAGCGCAAGACCTACTCCAATCCCAGCCCAGGAATCTTATTCACCCAATTCGTGGCAGCTTCCTGGGAGTTCTGCTGCAGTTTTTGTGGACATTTAAAAGGGTGCGTAGGAATCTGAGGTTCATGGTTAACGAAGTGCCTGAGGTTTCGGGTTCAGGGCCGCTGCTACTAGCCGAAGCCCCCATGCCCAAATCCCTGACGACAGACACGCGCATTTCAGGCCGCTTCCTCCCGCGAAGTCCATTTTTGAGGTGCCTGTGTCCTTGTATGTTGTCCTGAAGACGTCCCGTTTTCTGTTTAGAGTTTGCGGTTTGGGTCATAGGGAGTTTTCAGGTCTGGGTTGTAAAATATAGGAGTTTAGGGTTCGCAGGTTAGAGTTGAGAATATGTTTGAGTTTAGGACGCTCAGGTTTCGACTAGAGATATTTCGGAAATCAGCCCGGATTCCGGAAGCCTTGCAACAGGGTGTAGGAGTTGACAACGAGCCGTAAAACGGGTTGACAAACTAGGGTGTAGGGTTTAAGGTTCAGGGTTTATAGGGCTTAAGCTTTAGCTTGTTGTCAGGTTTACGAGGGTTCAGGGTTTAAAGAATCTCCCAGAGGGCCCATAGACATTACCATTATGGGATTAGGTCCCTAAAACCATAATAGGGATGGTCTTTTGGACCCTCTGGGTCTGTTTAGTTTTTTTAAAAATTCTAGGCCCTTTCTCCGAAGCCCTGCGCCTTGCAACATGAACGGCAGACCATCTCCGAAAATGCATGGATAGGTCTCTGAGTTGGGGTACCTTTTTGCGTCCCCAAGATAGTGCGGCACCCGCCTAGAAGGACCCTACCTTAACCTACCAAACCTTACATTATTTTTGCAGGTTCTTCGTATAAAACCGAATATGGAATTTCCCCACCCTACAAAAATGTAGGTTTTGGTAGGTTTTGGTGGTTTAGAGAACTAACCCCGTCCCTAAGCCCCGCCCTCCCCGGCCGAAGCCCTGAACCCGAACCCTTCTACATTTTCCCCGCGACCGACACCTTACCTCGGCACTAGAGGGTTGAGGGTTCAGTGTTTAGGGTTTTAGGGTTCAGGGTTTAGGATTCAGGGTTTAGGGTTTGGGTTTTAGGGTTTAGGGTGTTAGGGTTCAGGGTTTATAGGGTTTAGGGGGTTTAAGTGGGTTTTTTCGGGTTCAGGTGGGCTCTAGTCTCTGAGACCCTTGGCCCTTTGAGTTTCTGCTTCAAGGCTCAGCTAGGATGCCCAGTAGTACCCTTATTCCCTTTTTGTAGTCCTAGGTTCCTTATAAAGTTACCCAATACCAAAAAGAGAGGCCTTTTTATTCTTAGGTTACTGGGTATCCTAGTCAGGTCATCAAGCTTTGGGGCGGGGGTGGATGGGCTAAGGACCCTAGCCTAAACCCTTCTGGGGTTTTGGGTTTAGGGCTTCCGCCCCAAACCCTAAACCCCCAAACTCTTAGACTCTAAACCTGAACCCGTAAGGCAATCTTGTGCATCAGGTCAAAAGCAAAGGTTCCGACGGCGACAGGCTCCGGGAAGGGTGCGGGCTTCGGGTTTAGGGCTTGGGGTAGGGGTTTATAAGGTTCGAGCTCCGGTTTAGACTGCCGCATTTCCAGGGTTCCAAATAGCCCCCAAACCATCAAAGCCGCAGGCAAAAAGGGCTTTCAGGGGCTGAATTGATGCAGCTTGATGCTGGTCTTAGCGGGTTTAGGGGTCAGGCATTTCGCTTTCGGTGGTTTTGTGTGTCTATCGCCCCAGCTTTCTGGCCCTAAGCCTAAATCTACGAAACTTGAAACCTTGCCTTAGAGCACATGGTGCATGGTCTTTCACTCTTTCGGGATTTTATGATGGCAGAACATTAGACACTACACCTTGAAGCCCTAAATCAAGAACCCAAATATTTTTAAATCTGACATATTCTAACCCTACAAGAGCCTTCAGCTGCCAACACCTAAGCCGTAAAACCAGAACCCGAACACCTCAACCCTAAACCCTAAAGCGGTTTCAAAGTGCTGCCCTAATCACCTAATCCCTACCTGTATCCCAAAACCCTACAAAATAGTAGGTTATGACCCCTTAATTAGAGGGTCTGACCCTTAAAACGGTAGGTTTTTGGATCCACAGGTAAACCCTAAACGGCTTCCCCACAGTAGTTCCTTTTTGGGGTTCATATATAGAATCCTATCAGGCAATCCCAAAAAGGAACTACTGTGGGGCCTCTGGGTAGACCCTAGCCCCGTTGCCTCTGCCAGGGCCCGCTGCGGGGAGCTTCTTGGCCACGCCACGCCTTTCTTCACACAGCTGACCAGCGCCTGAGCTTCCAAAAGCAAGGGTTTAGGCTTTGGGGTGATTGAGGTTCAGGGTTTCGGGTTTAGGGTTTAGGGTTGTTGGGGTTTAGGGTTTCGGGTCTAGGGTTTCGGGGTTTAGGGTTTAGAGGTTTAGGGTTTAGGGTTGCTGA